CCTGAGAACAAACCAAGGCCACCCGGGCCGGGTCTGCTCGAGATGCTATTTGAGGACAGTTCATCCTGACAGGAAGTCTGGCCTGGGTCTCCTGAGGTTACCAAGCTCTTGGACACACTCCATTTATCCATGTCAAAGCTGCTCAGAGGAGTTTTAAAGGCCCTCTGTCCCTGAGACAGCATATTCATACCCTGTGCCAGCCATGGAAGTGACGCATGCTCCTTCCATGTGGCACCCGAACCCATTCCAAACCCCTCATTCTTCAGGACATACAGGTCCAGAGTTTATTCTGGATCTACTAGGATGGAATTCTAGCTCTGTCCTTCTGCCACATTCAAAATACACCTGATACCTTAGAAAGGCAAAGAATTTTGTACAAATTATACCTCAATAAATGGGACTTTAAAAAAGATCTACCTTGGGGCCAGCAGGTGGCGTGGTGGTTGAGGCACTGGACTTCCACATGGCTGACTGTGGTTTAAGTCCCAGACTGGGTGGCTTGAAACCCATGCCAGGCGTGTGTGGGTGTGTGCCCAAAATCCCAAGAGAAGAATGGAGGAGAAGAGATTGTGGTGTAGCCATCTCCCCTGAGAGGGGGTGTTGATTCCTCACTTTCTCCCTTTTTCTCTCCCTCCAGTGAGTACCCATACCCTAGTGCAAAACCTAAAATATATATATTTCTTCCTCTTGCTCTGTCTCCTAGCAGAATCGTGGAGAGAGTTGCTAGTGTAAGTGGTGAAATATATATATATATATACACATACACACATATATATATATTTCAAAATATATATGATATCATATATATTTTATTTTATATATATATATGTATATTCGATCAGTTATTTAATTAGGTTCTTGGCAAAAAATTTAGAACACAACTTTATGAGGATAAACTCCATTTGTAAGGGCAAATATGGATCACAGGTATCCCTGGAGCTGAGGAACAGCTTTGAGTTTTGGTAAAATTTGTGAGTCCACAACTTTCTGATCAACCTTGTGCTGCTCTGAAATCTCGCATTTCTCCTTCTCTGTGTCGAAGATCTCACCTTCCTGGTGTCTGGGCTTCCAGTTTCTTTCTCTTGAAGTAAGCATGGGTAAGGTGTTTTGGGATTTTTTATTTTTTACTTTGCTAATATCAATTTTCATGCAAGATTTATAGTATGTTCTACAAAGTGGAACTCGATTGAGAACCAGCGGTCCAGTCACAAGTAGCAAGCCACTGCTCAGCTGCTTCAGGAAAACCACTCTCTTGCCTCTGTGGGTCCAGTGAGGAGGATCAGAATGGGCCCAGGAGTGATGCTGGCTCACAGCTTTCTCACATGCTGACTGAAGGGTTTGCCGTGGCTCAAGAGCTTTCGAGGCACATCTTCAGTAAGGCATTTTGCACAGTTTAACCACCCGGGTGCCACCATTCTTGTCTCCACCAACTGGTTTTGTGACAGTCGCAAGAACCTTCTTCTTTTTCATTTCAATCCTGGATTTAGTGGCCGAGCATTTCCTCTTGTACATGGCCTTCCTGGAATTCGTGACAGACCATGAGTATCTGCCAATGCCCCGGACTAGGACTGGTGTCAGCTGCATTGGGGCTTCCCCTTCTTGGGCTTTTAGCCTTGGGTTCAGCTTTTGTAACCTTGCCACTGGCATCAGCCTTCTTGGCTTCTGGTTTCTTCTCCTTAGTCTCCTGCTTCACAGCTTTTTCACCTGCCGTCTTGTACAGTGGAGAAAGAGCTCAAGTCTCTTAATCTACTAATTGAAGATGGAAGTCATCGGGTCCATAGAGTCCAGTAGGTAGTAAGCCTGCATCTTTCTTTCAGATGATGAGGCATCAGTGGTTTGGAAAGAAAAGAAACACCTCGTAGCCCCTTTGAGGCAATGCTCCGTAGGCAGTGGGAAAGAAATGCGGGGCGGGCCTTGTGGACGGGGCCGGGCCTGAGTCCAGAACCACCGAGGAGTGGCTGGACAGCAGGTGTCGTCCAGTGAGTTTTCCTTTCCCATAATAAAATTTTTATAGTTTTTTTCTTTAAAAAACTTACCCATTTTCTCAGCTTCCTCAGATGCACATCTCTTCCTAAAAAGAAGCAGATAAAGAAGCCAAAAGTTCTGGCATGGGAGATGAGCAGGGTGCTGTGCTGATTAAATGTAAGAAGGGTTTAAGGCTGTCTTGGCTGTGAGTAGGCCCGACCAAATGTCAGTCATTCCCATTCTTGTCGCCAGTAGTGGCATTACCGTGTTCAGCCTCCAGCTTTTCACTGGGCAGATTTTGCGATAGTTATCTTTTGACATGAGGGGGAGTCTCTCGAGGAGGTGTATGGGAAAAAGCCCCCAGTAATTTCCCAGTAAGCTTTTTTTTTTTTAATCTAGAATGAAAATTGTAAAAGAAGAGACCATGAATGCAATTCATTTATAATTAAAGTTGTCTTACAATAGAAATTCGCTTCTTCCAAAAGGAAGACACTTATTCATTATACCTGGAGATCAATTCACGTACCAGCAAAAAATTGAATTTTGAATGTAATGCCACAAAACAACCCCTTTTTATTTTGTTAAAGCCTAGATTCAAGAGGAACCCAAAAAAGTGTGTTAGGCAGTCCTTAAGATTGCCCCCACTGATCCCCACTAATCCTTTTGCCCTAAATGTGAGTTGGATGTATTGACTTTGTTCTACCCAATAGAATATGGCAAAAGTGATGGAGCGTTATTTTAATGGGTTATAAAAAGGCGATGCCTTTTGTCTTGTGGTGATCTCTCTCTCATTTGCCCTCTGGAAAGCCAGCTGCACTGTTAGGAGGCACCCTGTGGAGAGGCTCACGTGGTGAGCAATGGAGACTTGGCAATAACCACACGAGTAAGGTTGGAAGCAAATCCCCCAACTTCGGCTGACCCTTCAGATGAGACCACTACCCTGGCCAACAGCTAAATTCAGTCACGTGATGAGTCACGTGAAAGACCATGAGTCAGAGAAATCATTATGCCATGTCCATATTCTTGACCCATAGAAAGTATGAGGTCCATGCTTATTTATTTATTTATCTATTTATTTTTTGGAGAGGTTTTTGCTATAGGGTGCGTGCGCTTGCCAGAAAGACAGAGAGAGACAGAGAGGTAGAAAGCGAGAAATCACCCCCCAGGGGGGATGGCCACGCTGCAATCCCTTCTCCTCCATTCTCCTCTCGGGATCTTGGGCACGCACGCACACGCACCCGGTGTGAGTTTAAGCCACCGGGTCCAGGACGCGAACTGCGGTTGACTACGTGGGAGTCCAGCGATATAGCCATTACGCTAACTGCTGGTCCCAGGTCCATGTTTATTTTAAGCTACTAGTTTTGGGGAGATTTTGTTATACAGCAATAGATAACTAATGCTAGAGTGTACACAATTGGGAACATACTTTTTTTCCCTTATTCTAAGGCAGTTACTGAAATAATTTCTAGCATAAGAAGGAGGACTTAATAATAACAACCATAATTTTGGGCAACCATAGTTATGTATGCTCATTCATACGACTGCAGCTTACTAACAAATTGGTTTTTCTTTCATTTTATTATTTATTTAATTTCATTAGTATTATGCATTTTATTATTGTTATTATTTATTCTATTTTATTTTATTTTTATTTATTATTGTTATTATTATGCATTGCTGTCGGGCATATGTACTCACCAGAGAGAGACAGAGAGAGGAAAAGTGAGACAGCAAGCTGCCAGGTCCAGGACTTGTATTGTAGTAGGCCACGTGGGAGTCAAACACCCCAACCACGATGACACCTGCTGGCCCCACCTTTTTGTTTTGTTTTTAAGTTTTCAAATAAATACCACCATGGGCCCTGCACCTCGGTGGTATAGGCAGTAGCATACTGAACTGCAGCGCTGGAAGCCATAGGCCAGTCACAGTTTTGGATCCTAAGTCAACCTGGGAACACACCAGGTACACATGGACCTCAGATCTTGATGAGCTAGAGAGCTGGGGCCAGAGAATCACTGTGAAAGACCCTAGTTAGGGTCTCTCTCTTTCTCATGTGTGCTGTCCGTCATGAATACAAAATAAGAACAACTTTTTTATTTTTTTGAAGAGGTATTTGCTATAGGGCGTGTGCACTAGCCAGAAAGACAGAAAGAGAAACAGAAAGCGACAAATCCCTCCCCAGGGGGGATGGCCATGCCACAATCCCTTCTCCTCCATTCTCCTCTCAGGATCTTAGGCAAGCACACACATGTGCCCGGCATGAGTTTAAGCCACCAGGCCCAGGACTCGAACGGTGGTTGACTACATGGGAATCCAGCGACATAGCCATTACTCCAACTGCTGGTCCCAATGAGTGGTGTCCTTTCAAATCTGAGTGTTGGTCACCAGGGAACAGAGATATGCTTCTCTTTCTCCCTGTGCCCTGAAGACTCACTGGCGAGAAGCTGCAGGCAAGCAATTCTGGGACCACCAAATTACTCTGGCATTTCTACAAAACACCAAGAATCAAAATCATGTCAAGTGCTCAACTCTAAAAGTTACATCAAAAAGCCAGCCCATGGCCTGGTGGCTAAGGGAGCTGGATCTCATGTGACTGACCTTGGGGTTTGAGTCCCAGATTCTGCAACTTGAAAAATATGCCAGGCATGTGTGTGTGCATGCCTAAAATCCGGAAAGGAGGGAGGAAAGGAGGAGAAGAGATTGTGGCATGATCATTCCCCATGGGGTAGGGAGAGGGGTTTTTTCCCGTCTCCCTTTCCCTCTCTAGCATGTGCATGCACCCTCTGACATATTAAACAAAATAATTATGTCTACATATTAAGGCTGTCTGCAAACACTGAAAATGCTCCTGTCTGCCCAGAGTGGAATTTGAGGTGATTTTTAATACGTTTCACAGCTATTCTTTATGTCATTATATTGTTTTTGTGGTTAAAACACACTCTAAGAAAAGAACGTACAGGCTTCGTGTTGTCAGAACATTTCCATTTTGGTTCATTAACTGTGTCGCGGCCACTCACCAACTTCTTTCTTCGCAGAGAAAATGCCGACGATCCCAGGAAACCCTCTTTCTTTAAGACCATCAATTTTCCTCGCCTGGAAGCCGGCCTCGTTGATCCTCCATTTGTGCCAGACCCATCCGTGGTTTATGCCAAAGACATCGATGAAATTGATGATTTCTCCGAGGTTCGAGGGGTGGAATTCGATGACAAAGATAAGAAGTTCTTCCAAAAATTCGCAACAGGTGCCGTCCCAGTAGCATGGCAGGAAGAAATTATAGAAACGGGACTGTTTGAAGAACTGAACGACCCCAACAGGATCGTAGAGTCTGGGGAGGGGAATTCATCCAAGTCCGGTGTGTGTTTGTTGCTGTGAGTTGTTCTCCCTGCCAGACGGGCAGCGGGAGTCTCAGCTGACACAATCCACGCATGTTGTCACACACAGACATCCCCTGAATGAGGGCTGGCCAGTTAGGAGGGGCGTTTCAGCCACAGGGCGGTTCAAAGGGCAGGCACGCTCACTCCGTGACGCGTCTGCTTTCTCTCCTTTCTTCCTCTTCCATAAAGATGAGTACAATCTCAGTTTTCGCCGAGGGGTGGGAAAAGGAACGCTGCAGTTTATTTGGATAAACTTGAAAAGCCTGAGCCTCTGCCATCACGGCCTGTGAATGACGCAAAGTCCTGGGAGCAGAGAATGGAACGTTGTGGTGTACCCAGCAAATGAGCATTTGCAATTCTCAGTAAATAATCATTTTAGTGTTTCTTTGTTTATATCCTGTCTTCCTTTCATCTGTCAGGATTTCTTCTGTTTCTGTACTTATCAAAAAGGATTCTGAGGCTGGAAATAAATGTTCCTCATGTTCTTCCCCCCTGCAAAGGAGTGGACTGCAATGTTTTGACCGTATTTCAGATTACAGAATAATCTTCAATTTCGCAGTCTCTTTTTCATTTTTCTTTTTTGTAAATAATTTATTATCAGAATGTGGAAGACTTTCAAATGTAAATATCCGTGAGTTCTGTGAATTAAAGTATTCTGAAAATTTAGCTGAGTCCTTTAAGTAATAAGCTACAAGTTGCTTACATGTGCAATTCCATACGCCATGGTTTCCAAATTTGAAATCACTTAGGGGTCTCTTTAAAATACTAATGTTGGGCCAGCCGGTAACACAGTGGTGAAGGCAGCTGGATCCCACGTGACTGGTTGTATGGTTTGATGCTTAGACCTGGCCCCTTGAGAAACACACTGGGCACATGTGCACGTGTGCCCAAAATCCTAAGAGGAGACTGGAAAAGGGATTGTATAGCCATTCCCCCAGGGATGATTTCTCACTTTCCCTCCCTCTGTCTCTCTCCAGTGAACTCACACACCCTGTAGCAATAAATAAATAAATAAATAAGTAAATCTAATGCCTGGCTCCCACCCCCAGATATTCTGACCCCCACCCCAAGTATGGGTGCCATTTCAAGTTTCACAAGCTTCTCAGGCGATTCTAACGTGTACATAGGAGCCCTTGTTTTGGTTGTTCAAAACTTCAATCATGTATTTTGATAGCAACTTTTCAAATATCTAAAAAGTGGTGTAAATAAAATTGAAAATTGTCTGTATTCGTCACCTGGATTCTCTTGTCTTTGCGTCCTTTAGTTCCTCACACATATCTTGGGAGGCAGTTCTCTTACAGTTACGTCAATGCCTGAAAGAGACATACATGCTTAGAAATTGAACTGAACAAAGAGCAGCCCTCATTTCTATTGGTTGTCTAGTCAGCACTGTATGGCAGATTAGCATTACTCAAAGGCACAGACAAACTAGGAATTCTGTGCACAAAACTAATAAAAAATCATGTCTTGGTGCATTGGTTCCTTGATGTGAATTTCTACTGCTTTCAATAAACTGTAAATACAAATGATTCACTTCTTAGAACCAACTCAGGGAAATCATTGAATAAGGAGTAACTAACTGCATAAGGAGAAAGTAGTACAGAGCATTCAGCGGGTGAGTATGTGTTGAGTTCTAATTATGCACTGACCTGTACTGAGCAGTGTTGGGGAACCAGAGAGCTAAAACGAACCATCTGAGATAGGCAATGTGGTGGAGAATGGAGAATAGATACCCTTGTCAGTATCATTATTATTTTGAAATGAGGAAACCAAGACTCTGAGAGGTGTTCTATCTTGTCTGCATCACATAGCTTGGCAGGGTTGTTGCGAAGCTGGAAATGGAGTATATGAAAAACATAGTGCAAGACTCACATACAGTAAGGACATACTCAATTAAAGTAGCAGCAGGTTAAAAAGAATGTTCTAGGTTAAGGGACAAAACAAGTAAGGGATGAACTGAACTACCTTAGTGAAAAGTTTCATGGGACCTAATGGAGGCACAGCAATAAAACTGGATTCTCTGCAAGGCTGATTCACATGGGAAGGTTCCAAGTTTGTGTCAGGAGACCTCCCGGAGTAGGGTGGGCACCCACACACCCACGATCTGGAGCCAACTGAAGTTGGGGTGAATCGCTGCATCAAGATTTTTAGAGCTCATTAATGTGTATTGTACATATCATCAGTGCCGTTTAACAGTAAGGCTTAACTTGTATAAATTGCTTGGACAGTACAATGTTATGAAAACTAATTAATGAAAATAATCATTCTTTCTTAAGTAGTTATTCTTGGCAGTTATAAACCTTAAATAGGGAAAGTGATGGTACAAAGAATACGAAGAAAAAAGATAAGTAGAAAGAATACTTCCTGTCTAGAAAACGTACTGTATTAACCATTTTGATTATCAAAAATTAAAATAAGAAACATTTTGCTAAATTTTCTCAGTTCGTCTAAAAAAATCATTGCAGTTATTGAGAGTTAGTTATTTTTTCAATAAATCTTGGTGCCCACCAGGCTTCATTTGGGTTTGTGGAGATACACAAGGGGCTGTCCCTTTAGGATTTTTGGAATGTGGCTTTATTCCCCGTGTGGATCAGTAAATCTTTGTATCTTTCTGGATGGAGATGAATTTTGTAATGTCCACTCTTCCCTGGATTTTCTGCTCTGAGCCTACACTTCCTTTTTTTTTTTTTTTTTTAAGAATTATTTTATTTATTTATTTTAATTTGACCAGAGAGAGACAGAGTGAGAAAGAGAGAGAGAGAGAGAAAGAGAGAGAGAAAGCAAGCAAGCCACCAGGTCCGGCACTAGAGCACAAATAGCCACATGTCAGTCCAGCACCGTTAACTGCCATGCCACCTGCTAGCCCCACCTACACTTCTCTTTAAAATCAGGAAAAACGGGCCGGGGGTGGCATGATGGTTGAAGCATAGGACTCCCACATGGCAGACCATGGTTCAAGTCCCGGCTCTGGTGGCTTCCTTTCTTACGTTCCCTCTCTCTCTGTTTCTCTCTGGTGAGCACTGGTGCCCTATAATAATTTTACAAAATAATAATAATAATAATAAAATGTAATAAATAAATACAATAAAATCAGGAAAAAGTCTATTATTTAAAGCAAGGTGGGGCCTGATATCCATGGCGGGGACTGTGTGTGTCTGCTTAGGCCACTTCTGGCAATCACCAGCCCCCATGGTTCCTCCTCCTCCTCCAAAAGACATCAGCCTGGGTCTTGGAGGAAATCCAGGATTCTGGACCCAAACCAGCGGCTCCCGGGACAGAGCCAGGCAGCTGGTGTCTAAGGCTGAGCCAGCTCATTGGTTCCACCATCCAGACCGTGAAGTGCCTAGTGAGTGCAAAGCTTTTACCAAAATTCAGAGAAATGAAAGAAAGGTCAATGCAGCGAGCTTTTCAGACACTACTGACTCCAGTTAAAATACCCTCTTTCACAAGAGAGTTGATATTTTACTAAAGTAAACATTAGAAACCCTATAACTATCTCCTCAATTTTCTTTGAAACTTTACTGACCCATGAGATTTCAAAATCTAGGAAGCCTTGGCTGGATGACCTTGCATGACATTCGTGAGGAAACATTTGTGCTCCAGTGGAAAACCGGACACTGTCTAGAGACGGCTCTGTGTGCTCTTTCGCGAAGGCCCAGACAGTAAATATTTCCAGCTCTGCAGATGGCAAGGACTTAACTCTGCGTCCGTAGCGTGAAAGGACCAGAGACCACGTGTGAAGGACCAAGTGTGGTCATGTTCACATACAGCTTATTTACAGAAAGAGGAGGTGGGGCTGGATTTAGCAAGCAGTAGTTTATTGATCCTATCATCAATTAACTCTATTAAGCTGCTACTAGGTTATCTAATTTTTTTTTTTTTTTAGAGAGAGAGAGAGATTTTTGCTATAGGTTGTGTGTGCTCGCTGGAGAGACAGAGATACAAAAACAAAAACAAAAACAAAAACAAAACAAGAAATCATCCCCCCAGGAGGGATAGCCATGCCGCAATCCCTTCTCCATTCTTTTCTTGGGATTTTGGGCACACATGCACACACACACACCCAGCGTAAGTTTCAAGTCATCAGGTTCAGGACTTAAACCATGGTTGACCATGTGGGAGTCCAGCGCCTTAAGCACTACACCACCTACTGGCCCCATTGTCTAATTCTAAAGGAGCATTTCTACAACCCTATAAATTGTAGGTAACCGGGACAGGCAGGTGGTGTGGTGGTTAAGGCACTGGATTCCCACATGGCTGACCACTATTCGAGTCTTGGACCTGGCAGCTTGCTTTTTCATTTTCTCTCTCTCTCTCTGGTCAAATTTTTAAAAATAGAAATAATAAATAAAAGAGTTATTTTAAAAAATAGTACAGAACTAACAAGAATGCAAAATAGTTCTCAACTACAGACATGCGACTGAACTCTTCACCTCTGGGTTTCAGGCTATCGGGCAGAGTACCACAGACTAGGTGGCTTCCCCGACCTCATTCATTCCCTCACAGTTCTAGAGGCCGGAAGCCTGAGGTCAAGGTGTTGTCAGGGTTGATTTCCTCTGGAGCCCCACTCCATGGCCTGTAGGTGGCTGTCCCCTCCCCGTGTCGTCTTATGGACTCCATACTGTATGCATCTTCATTCTTTTGATAAAAGAACCAGTCCTACTGGACTAGCATCCACCCTAAAGACATCGTTTTAGGAGGTCATAACCTCTTGGAAGAGCCTATCTCCAGAATCAATCACATTCCAAAGTTCCAGGAGTTGGGACTTCAACAAACACATTTTGAGGAACGCTGTTCAGTCCACATTCATCCTAGGCTAGTTTTACGTCCACCTGCTCATTTATTTCAGCATTCTTTTACTCCATATTGTAAAAGACAAAACTTCAGTTAAAAACGTTAATTGGCTTGGGACCAGCAGTTGGTTTAATGGCTATGTCGCTGGACTTCCACGTAGTCGATCATTGTTTGAGTCCTGGACCCAGTGGCTTAAACTCACGCCAGGCACGTGTGCATGCGTGCCCAAGATCCCGAGAGGAGAATGGAGGAGAAGGGATTGCGGTGTGACCGTCCCCCCCCGGGGGGTGATTTCTCACTTTCTGTCTCTCTATCTCTCTCTCTGTCTTTTTGGCGAGTGCACATGCCCGATACCAAAAATCTTTCCAAGAAAAAAAAATTAATTGGCTTTATCTCCAGTTCTAAAGTGGGACAACACTTCATTCCATAAAATAGCATCAGGGGCCAACTGGTGGCATGGTGGATTCCACATGGCCGACAGCATGGTTCAAGTCCCAGACCCAGTGACTTGAAAAACACGATGGGCACTTGTGTGTGCATGCCCAAAATCCAGAAAGGAGGGAGAAATGGAGGAGAAGGGATTGCAGTGCAACTATTCTCCACGGAGGAGACTTTCTCACATTCTCTTTCCTGGTCTCTCTTCTTCAGTGAACACACATGCTTTCTGACAAATCAAAACTGTATCAGTGTTTCAACAAGCTGAACAGACGATTAATTTCATAGACAGAGAAGGGCTGAAGAAATCAAGAGTAGGGAACCAGCAGTTAGTGTAATGGCTATGTCGCTGGACTCCCACATAGTCGACCGCAGTTCGCATCCCGGACCCAGTGGCTTAAAACTCACGCCGGGCACGTGTGCGTGCGTGCCCAAGATCCCGAGAGGAGAATGGAGGAGAAGGGATTGCAGCGTGACCATCCCCCCTGGGGGGTGATTTCTCGCTTTCTGTCTCTCTGTCTCTCTCTGTCTTTCTGGTGAGCGCACGCGCCCTATAGCGAAAACCTCTCCAAGAAAAAAAAAAAGAAATCAAGGGTAAAAAGAAAAATAATTTTTTTTTTTAAGGTTACTTTCCTTATCGAGTGGGGACAAGGGACCAGGAGA